AGCATCTGCCTTTGGCTCAGGTCATGATCCCAGGGTCCTGGGATCAAGCCCCGCATCTGGCTCCTTGCTCAGCGGGGAGCCTGCTTCTCCCTCTCCCACTCCCCCTGCTTGTGTTCCTTCTCTCACTGTGTCTCTCTGTCAAATAAATAAATAAAATCTTAAAAAAACCCCAATGAATCCCTGAAGTAGTAATTAGTAAGAATTTATCGTACCCACACTAAAAAGCCAGTTTGCAAACTGGGAGTGCTCAAACCGAAACATGGAACAAGGCTCAGAGGTATATTGTTACAAAGCAGCTTATGTAGTCCTTGCAGTAATTGGTTACAATGTTAGAATTTTCTTAAAGGTAAAGGAATTGGTGAGTGGTTACCGCCAATCAATTTGGGGGAACAATTTAAGTTTTGCTTATGATTTTCAGAGGCATAAGCAAGAAGTGACCCAGGTCAAGTTAACCTCTCTTATCTCGCAAAATAAACTGAATTAAGCTTTGCTTGTGTGATTAACTGGTTGTGTCCTCTCAGTGAACTTTCAAGTCTGGTCTCTGTGTTTGATTTTAGCACGCCAGAAATCTCTAACAAAAACGTATTGTTCGGCAACTTGCCTTTTAAAATTCCCCATTCTATCACAACCATCCTTTAGATGTTAATATCTTTGCCAGTTTAAGGTGTTCTGGAGTACAAATACACTATCGTCTTTTTAACTTTCCCCCTATTAGTGGTCCTTAGTTTGTCTCCCAGTTTTGGCTACTATAAGGAAATGTGGGTTTTTTTGTTGTTGTACAGAGATTTTAGATTCTTATATAGTTAATGTTATCAATCAATGCTTCTGCTTTGGTGCAATATTTAGAAATTCATTATAACACCCGAGATTATATGAATAGGAATCTCCTGGCAATTTTACAGTTTTAATTTTTTTTTTCTACTTTGAAATGTGTATCTTGGTGTAAGGTATGAGGCAGGGTGATAGCTTTATTATTTTCCCAATGGGAGTCAGTTGTCTTAATGCTATTTATTTATTTGCTTCTTTATTTTTAATAAAGTTTTTATTTATTTGACAGAGAGCATGTCCAAGAGCACAATTGGGGGAAAGGGAACAGGCTCCCCACTGAGCAGGGAGCCAGATGTGGGACTCAATCCCAGGACCCTGGAATCATGACCTGAGCCAAAGGCATACTCAACCAACTGAGCAACCCGGGCACCCCTATTTATTTATCTACCTATTTATTTTAAAGATTTACTTACTTGAGAGCGAGAAAGAGTGTGGGGGGGAGGGGCATAGGGAGAGAATCTCAAACAGACTGCCCACCGAGCAGGGAACCCCACGCCAGGCTTGATTCCAGGACCCATGAGATTGGGACCTGAGCCAAAACCAAGAGTCAGAAGCTCAACCGACTGAGCCACCGAGGCACCCCTTAATGCTATTGATTTAATTCTATCATTTCCCTCTGGTTTTAAGTGTTGCCCTCACTTAAAAAAAAAAAAAAAAAAAATCACATCTACATTCTTATTTTTGGCTTTAGAGCCAGACTAGTTTGGGTTTGACCTTGATTCTGACCTTGGGCGAGTTGCTGCACTTCGCCTTGTTCAATTTCCTCATCTGTAGAATGAAAATGATGATATTGCATGCTTCCTAGGTTGTCATGATGATTGAGTGAGGCACCGGAGCTTAGAACACTTAGTAAAGGCAAGCGGTCATTACCACTGCTGCTGTGGTAGAGCCCCTGCAGGTGTTTCTAGACTTCGTTACTTGCTGAACTCCTTTCAGGAAGAGACTAAAACTTCTCATCCTTCATGTTGCTCAATACTGGGCAAAAACGTGATTTGTACTGTCAAAGAGCCTTTACAGGGAGGTTATTCTAATACTGACCCAAAGTATCCATAGAATTACTTCCTAGCATTTGCTATTGCTATAAATGTTTTCTCCTAACTTTGGGTATAATTTTAGGCAAATAATCTAATCCTATTCTCATATAATCTCTTCATTGCAAATGTGTATGTCAGCAGATGCCTTCTCATTTGCAAAGTGCTTTGATTTGTATTTGAAGATGCCTTCCATGCAGTCTCCACAAATCACTTTATGATGAAGGATCCTAATTAACTTGAGGTGGTTTTAAGCAAAGCCACATTTGGGAGAATGTATCCTATGGCGTTTTTTGTTTTGTTTTTCAAGATTTTTTTTTTTTAAGATTTTATTTCTTTATTTGACAGAGAGAGAGCCAGTGAGAGAGGGAACACAAGCAGGGGGAGTGGGAGAGGGAGAAGCAGGCTTCCCGCTGAGCAGGGAGCCCGATGCAGGGTTCGATCCCAGCACCCTGGGATCATGACCTGAGCCGAAGGCAGACGCTTAACAACTGAGCCACCCAGGTGCCCCTCGGAGGGAACATTTTTATAACTGTTTATTACTAGACCTTGAGAATTTTCTTATTGTGAGTACTTTCAGAATTACCTGTAGAGTTTTTAAATTATTTTTTTAAATTGCCCTGTTGGCCATAGTTATTATTAATGTTATTAATATATTATTAATGAAGTATAGATAAATAGTCATAATAAGAAACAGGCAATTGCTCAATTATGATTTAAGGTGGTGCCAGTGGAATTTTTCCTTTTATGCTACAACTGAGAAGTGCCCTACAGTTTCCCACTGCTTTATCTCTGCCTATAAATTCTCAGCTAATTCCCTAAATTTGAATCTGAATTACTTTGTGAAGATGAGAAGATCATTGGTCTTTGTGGCCAAGTCTGTGGTTAATTTTGCCTTCTTCCTTCAAAGAATGAGTTGATTGAAATAGTTGTCTCTCAAATAGGTACCTCATGAATATGGATTACGTGGTAACTTCCTACAGCTTCAAGACAATAGCAACCTGAGCAAAAATAGGAATTAGCAAGATTCAGAAATTGGGAAAAACAAATTAGGAATTATCTACATAATACTGTTAAGGAGAATTTTTTTAAAAAAGATTTTATTTATTGAAAGAGAGAGAGAGAGCAGGAGGAGGAGCAGAGGGAGAGAGACAAGCAGACTCTGTGCTGAGTGCAGAGCCCCACTCGAGGCTCAATCCCATGACCCTGAGATCATGACCTGAGCCGAAATCAAGAGTTGGACTCTTAACAGCCTGAGCCACCCATAAGTGAGAATTGTTTTTATGCATTCAGGTGAATTTTGTGGGGTCAGCATGAACCAATAATACCAGATAATCCTACTTTACTTATTTTATACAGTGAACACAGTTGTCTAACATTTCCACACATTCATATTGCTGTTATTTAATGCTGTTTATTCATCCAGTAAGCACTGAGTAAGTGCGTGCTCTGTATTGAATGCTGTGCTTGCTGTTGGCGATCCAGCTACCTTACAGAATGGTTGAAAGGAAATGTCTTTCCTCCTGTTAGAGTGTTGCCACAACACTTGTCCCTAGCTGCAGCCTTTATGTCCATCTAGATAGAATCTTCCTACTTGTGATCGATTTCCTGATTTCATCTACTGAGGAGGGGCCATGGCATTCACCCATGTGGTGGACACTCAGTAAACACGTGCAGGGTGTCAGGGCATGGGAGGTGAGCTGAAGGATACTTGGTTTCTGCCACTAGCAGATTGTAAACCCACATATCACTTTCCAAATAGTAACTCAACCTTCAGCAGGCATGGGAAGTTGAAGTTGTTCATAACTAGCCAGGAAACTAAGAAGGATATTGAATGTCTTTCAGCATATTAAGAAACATAAAAAAGAATGAAATACTGCCATTTGCAATGACATGGATGGAGCTAGGGAGAATTATGCTAAGCAAACTAAGTCAGTCCGAGAAAGACACATACCCCATGATTTCGCTCATGTGTGGAATTTAAGAAACAAAACAAATGAACAAAGAAAAGAAAGAGGGAAACAAACAGATTCTTAATTATAGAGAACAAACAGAGTTACCAGAAGGGAAGGGACAGTGGGGAGGGGTGAAACAGGTGAGGGGGATTAAGAGTACAGTTATCATGATGAGCACTGAGTAATGGATAGACTGCCGAACGCTGTATTGTACACCTGAAACTAATACAGCATTGTACATTAATTATACTGGAATTTAAAAAAGAAAGAACTGGGAAGGAAAAAACAGAGCTCTGGATTGTTTTTTGCTTAAAGTAGTAAGAGGAAGCTTTCTTGCATTGAACAATGTGTGATGTGATTTACAAAAATTTTAAACTACCTTTTCTCATGAAAGAAGGAAGTAGAAGAGAGGGAAGGAGAGAGTATAAAGGAAAGAGGGAAAGGTAAGTATGCTTATTTTTCAAGGCCCTTTCGAGGACTAAGGACAATGTGTGTAAAGTACCCAGCACTGTGTTCACACACACTAGGTGCACTAGTAATAGGATCCTCCATGATGATGATCATGTAAAATTGTATGTTCCAGGAATAGTATTTGACTGAAGGCACATCTACACTTATTTAAGAAGTCACATTATAATGACTTTGCTACTCATGAACATACAATGACTTGATTTCACTGACCTCTCTGGAATTACACCCTCCTGGCCATGTAATCCTAGACTCTGCCATTGTTACAGACCTCTCTGCTCACTATCTCCTGTCCTATTGCTTGGACTCCATGCATGTCACATATGTACATTTGGACCTGAGGTTGTGTTTGGGTTATCTTTTGCAGCCTAACTCCTCCAAAACGTAGTGATTTGAAACAACAATCATTTTATTTTCTCTCACAGTTTTTTGGGTTGACTTGATTCAGCTGGGTGGTGCTTATGCTCCGTGGGATGTTGGCTGGAGCTGCAGTCCCCTAGGAGCTTGAATTGTCTGAAATGAAGTTCAAGATCTTATTCACATTGCTGACAGTTGATGCTAGCCATCAGCCAGAAGTTCAGCGGGGCTGTCCACTGGAACACCTACGTGGGACCTCTTTGTGCCCACATGACTCGGGCTTCTAACAGTATGGCGGCTGAGTTCTAAAGGGAGAGTTCCTAGAGGGAGAATCCCAAGAGTGAGCCTTCCAAGAGAAGAGAAGCAGAAACTGTTAGTCTTTTTTTTTTTTTTTTAAGATTTCATTTATTTATTTGAGACAGAGAGAATGAGAGAGAGAGAGCACATGAGAGGGGGGAGGGTCAGAGGGAGAAGCAGGCTCCCTGCCGAGCAGGGAGCCCGATGCGGGACTCGATCCAGGGACTCCAGGATCATGACCTGAGACGAAAGCAGTCGCTTAACCAACTGAGCCACCCAGGCGCCCAGAAACTGTTAGTCTTCTTAAAGGCTTGCCTCACTTATGTTGTATTCTGTAGGTCAAAGCAGTCACAGACCGGCTCAGATTCAAGGGGATGAAGGAATTGACTCCACTCTTGATGCAGGAATGGCATATGCATACAGGGAGAGAAGTTAATGAGTGACCATCTTACTATAGGGTAAATACTACCTTCCTTTAAATTTGTCTTAACTGAGTCTAAGTCTTTTAAAAGGACACTCACAGGCTCGAGGTTCATGCCCTAGAAGTAATACAGGAAAAGGTGGTGAGCTATCATTCACCTAACCATTGGAACTCAGACTGATTTGTCTTGGATCCAGTTGGGTGGCACTAGGACAACACTTGTGTTGGTATATAAACATGACACTAACTAATCTTTTATGAAAGAAAATTGACATCCAGTTCTGTGGGAGAAGGTTTAGGTCTGTGTGTGATGATAGCTAGTGCAGTGATTCTCAGCTGAAGATGATTTGTTCTCCAGGGGGTGTTTGGCAATGTCTAGTGGCGTTTTTGGTCATCACATCTGGGGTGCAGGCCAGTGCTACTGGTATCTGGTGAATAGAAGCCAGATGATAGTAGGCATCCTACATAGGACAGCCATCTCTCACAACAAAGAATTTTCTGGCCCCAAATGTCAGTAGTCCTGAGGCTGAGAAACCCTGAATTGGAGCAGAGCCTTCCTAGATTGCCTTGTTCGTTCATATAGAATGCATTGCTTTTTATACCCTAAGACATCATTTGTGCCTTTCATCTTACAAAGAAATTTTTTATCTATATATTTCCAGATTCAAATTGTGAGATTCTCTAAGGGTTCTCAAAGTCTGCAACTTTTTTTTTCTTAGTTTATTTATTTATTTTTTTAGTAATCTCTACACCCAACGTGGGGCTTGAACTCATAATGCCAAGATCAAGAGTTGCGTGCTTCTTCAACTGAGCCAGCCAGGTGCCCCACTACAACTTCCGTTGACTTTTGTATTTAAATAATTTATATACAGAGACTGGATCAAGGTGGCTGGTAATCCATACATCCCACCTTCTTTCTTTCATCTCAAACTTCAAGAAATTACAAGAAAAAACTGTGTCTGTGTCCTCATTTTCCCTTGCAACTTCCTAGACCCACCTACCATGGCATGCTTTCCTCACCCTCTCAGCTTTGTGAGAGGCTGTCCCTGGTCATCCAGCTTTCCCATCGATGGGCTCTGTCTGCACTGGGTCTCTGGAGAAACAGAGGTTAGGAGTGTGTTCTGGAGTCAGATCGCCTGGGTCCGAATCTGCCACCCACTCACTCTATGACTTTGAGCAAGTTACTTAAATATTCTGGGCCTCCTTTGCAAAATTTGAATACTAGTGGTATGTCATAAGGCACTGTAGTGAGTAGTGAATGAGGAGATGAATGAGGAACAGCTCTTGAATGGTGCCTGGCCCTTTCTAATACCTGATCCGTGGTATGGATCATCCTCGTTGCTGTCAATGCCACTTTCCTCCAAGCTCCGTCCCATCAGCTCCCAGGACTTCTCCCAGGAGGAGTCCCCATCTCTCTGTCCCACTTTTGCTGAGCTGGACAGTGGTCTTTTTTTGGATTGGTGTGTTTTGTTTTGAGTCAATTTCCCAATACCCCAGAGCCGCAGGGTATTTGTAGGGCTGGCTTAGTGTCAGCTTATTTCTAGCTTTTAACCCACATTGCTTCAAAAAGCATTACGTGGCTTTGTGTCCTGGTTTCCTTCTCTGTGAAGTAGAAATAATGCCTTTTTCTTACCTTTTCCCAGGGGTTTCGATTTGCTTTCTTCCTTGTTTTTCTTCTTTGGCTCTGCCTTTATTTCATGCCAACCTGTCAACTTTTGTGTATCCTTAAAGCCACCTTCAGTCCTTGATGGGAAAAGGTACAGGTATAAATAAATAAAGAAGCACATAAATAAAATAAGGAGTAGTTATGAAAGCGCTGGAAGAAGGTCAAAGCATCAAACACACACAAGGCATTTTTAGCCGGAAAGCATTATCTGTGGCGGAGATTGGAAAAATCCACTTTGTCGTTTTGTCGGTCAAACTTAGAAACGTTCAAATCATTGTCAACTTGACTTCATGTGATATTTACAGAAAATAGAATATAAGAAAAATGTGGAGGAGATACATTTGCTTCGGTCCTTTGAAGATCGAAGTTCTGAAATAGGCAGGAGAGCTAAGAATATGCTTTTTAAAACATGTGGCCGCAAGTTCTTAAAGGGAAAAATTAACATAGAGATGACAATAAATCTTGCATCGTCAGGAAGTGTTCACTGCAAAGGTCGCACAAGAAAATGACTACAAAAGGAGTGAAATGTCTTCTCTAAATAGTAATCATGATCCCTGACATTTATCGAGTGTTTACTTGGGCTTATCCCAGTAAGCAAGGGGAGAGAGACTATTTTTATCCGCGTTGACAGTTGAGAAAACTGATGCGTGGCTAGGTTATTTCCCCGAGGCCGTGGTGGAACTAAGCAGCTGATCTCCAGAGCTTAGTCAGCGATCACCACATGCCACATTGCTCCCCAGCTAACCAGGTGCTTCCTTCAAGCCACGGCCTTGTAACGCAGCAGGGCTTCTGGAGGTTACTTCTAATGGTTACACAATCAAATTCCCTGTCATGCCTGCTACAGGCCAGGGCCAGTGCCAAGACAAAGTGAAATGGGTGACATTTTGCTCTGGCTCCCATCTGGCCTGATGACCAGCGCTGGCTGTTCCTTCTCACTGTCCCGGGCTTATTCCTGCCCTCTGCCCATACTCAGTCATACCAAGTCAAGTCTTGAAGGCTTGAAGACATTTGTGCTTTACCGTGGTTTGATTTCAGATCCCTTTGAGAATCTGATAGAGTAAGAAGCTTTCCCCAGGGGAGGGGAGAATGGGCTTCAAGTGTGGCATGTGGTTTCAGGGGAACCCCTAGAAGCCTCGGCTTGGATTTAACATGTAAAGGAATAAAACAAGGATAATAAGAGTAGGTGATGGTGGGCTTGCTATTGGGGTGTTGGGAGCCTGTCTCCTGCCTCAGTTGAAAGATCCTATGCTGGATTAATAAAATTAACGAGAGGGATGCTTGGGTGGCTCAGTCAGTTAAGTGTCTCACTCTTGGTTTTGGCTCAGGTTATGATCTCAGGGTCCTGGGATTGAGCCCTGCATCGGGCTCTGCACTCAACGGGAAGTCTGCTTGAGATTCTCTCTTGTCTCCCTTTGCCCCCCACCTCTCAAATACATAAAAGAATCTTTAAAAAAATAAATTTAAAAAATAAAATTAATGTGAAACATTAGCATAGAGCAAGAAAAAAATAACTAGTTTATACTGTCTCCTTTAGTGTTTTTTATGTAACTGTTCCTGCAGGCTAGTTTTGTTTGCTCAGGGTCTGTAATCTTTCTTTATCTTAGAGCTGATCTGTGGCTGCACAAGAACATGTCAAGCACAGCCTGGGGCACCTGGGTGGCTCAGTCGGTTGGGCGCCCGACTCTTGGGTTCTGCTCAGATAATGATCTCAGGGTCGTGGGATCGAGCCTTGGGCTCTGTGCTCAGTGTGGAGCCTGCATAAGATTCTCTTCTCCCTCTGCCCCTCCCTGCCATGCTCTCTTTCTAAAATAAAGAAATAAAATATTTTTTAAGAAAGAACATGTCAATCATGGCCTCACACAAGGTGTACCCCAAGAATTTCATGGCAGAAGTTATTGTGGTGCAGGTGTCCGTCCGTCTGCCATCCCTGTCACCCAGTCATATGTCCCAGTGCACTTGACACTCTGTGCCTGGCACAGGGACACATGCTGGTGCTCCTAGCGGGAATTTGCGTGAAGAAGCAGGATTTTTTTTTTTTTTAAGATTTTATTTATTTGAGAGAGAAAGAATGAGACAGAGAGAGCATGAGAGGGGGGAGGGTCAGAGGGAGAAGCAGACTCCCCGCCGAGCGGGGAGTCCAATGCTGGACTTGATCCCAGGACTCCAGGATCATGCCCTGAGCCGAAGGCAGTCACTTAACCAACTGAGCCACCCAGGCGCCCAAGAAGCAGGATTTTATTCAGTTTTGCACAAGATGTTTCCCTGTTGACTTTTGGAAAACAAGGTGTTCAAAGGCAGGAGAACAACAAACAACCCAAGAGATTGTACATATTCAAAGACTCCTTGGCAGTTGGTTTGCAGGAAAGAAGACTATGCGCTGGTGCTGGAATAAAGCCCAGGCCCCGCGCAGGGTATCTGGGTGGAGTCCAGGTGGCAGGAACCCAGGCAAGGCTCCAGTTATTAGCTGAGAGAAAAGCAACATCTTACAGCACGAACCCCGAATGCCCTTTTTCCCTCTAAGGAGACAGTATTGTCCCAACATAAGCAAGCTGCACCTTAATGCCTGACTTTTGGTCTACGGGTCATGAAGCTGCAGGGATAGGATGCTGTTTCCCCTTCTTACTCTTCTTTATCGATCAGTGTCCCAAACCCCCTTTTGGATTCTTTAAGAAATTAGGCTTTTCTATAGTAATACATTGTATCACTTTCTTTTTTATGTAATGTCTTTTTATTTTTTTTAAGATTTTATTTATTTACTTGACACAGAGAAATAGAGAGAGAGAGAGAGAGCACAAGCTGGGGGAGGGGCAGAAGGAGAGGGAGAAGCAGGCTCCCTGCCGAGCGGGAAGCCCAATGTGGGGCTTGATCCCAGGACCCCGGGATCATGACCTGAGCCGAAGGCAGATGTTTAACCAACTGAGCCACTCAGGTGCCCCTAATGTCTCTTTAGAAACTGAGATATGATTAACATATAGCATTCTATTAGTTTCAGATGTACAACATAATCAGTATATGTATATATTACAAAATGATCACCACAAGAAGTCTAGTTAACAGCCATTCAGTTCCTTAAAAAAGAGGAAAAGGTAGATTATGTGGGACAGACAACAAAACAGGAATGTAAGTGCTTGAACTCTGCTAAATTTGTGATCAGACACAGGTGGACCTAGCGTGGTAGGACTGATGGCTGGGCCTGGTGACCTCAGTTTCTCTGATGAATTTGGAGAAAGTACAGCCTTTGGGGTTTGAAGGGCTTTAATACATTTTACTTGGTGTCCTTAAGTGTGTTAAAGAACTTCCCCGAGCCTCAGTTTTTTCATCTGTTTTATGGGGATAATAATACTTCCCCAATGGAGTTGGGCACACAAAGGTGTCACAGATGACAGTCCCACCCCACAGTTTAAACTCTTCAGGCATCAGGCTCAATGGTCCGTAATGAATACACTTATGGATTGTATCTTCTTCCTCCCCGCTGAACATGAGAACATTTGCCTGTCTCTTTTTCTGCCATTCATATGTCCCATCCCTTATGATGGTTAAGGAGCACTGACCATTTCCTGTATTAGTGTGAGGAAGCAGATTCTCTGCAATAGATGCTGGGGCCCATTTCCACTCCTACCAGTCAGGCATGCAGTTTTGATAAGCAGCTTCCCAGGTGCTGAAGGAATTAGGTTTAGGCCGAAAAGAAACCAAATAGTAATCTCAACAGAAAGGGCACAGAGGCCCATGGTGTTGTCCCAGGGACCGCTGAGGTTCCTGGCATCTGCTTCTGACCATGGACAGGGAGATTCAGCATCTCCATGTCACTGCAGAATGATGGGAGAGTTGGTTTTCCTAGCCACCTGGCCTGCCCATGATCTGCTGCTCAGACAAGGTCCCAGCATTCCTTATTACATTCCGTGTTTGTGATTTGGTGCGCCCAGGGGGTTTGAACTGAGGGACCTGTGGTGGGGGAAGGTGCAGAGTGGTGATTGTGATGGTTGCCACACATTGTTTCTTTCTGTTGCAAGACTTGCTTTTGGTGTCTGAGAGTAAGTGGTCTTGTAACCATTACCTGTAATCTTCTGCCTTGAGTTCTCGTATTTGCTCATGGACACACTGGCTTAGGAACCAATGGGCTCGCAGCTGTGTGTCACGACATCGCCCCCTGCTTTCAGCTAGAGCCCCACAGCGCCGTGCCAGTCCTCAGCCAGCCTTGTCTCAAGTCCCTCTCCTGTGCGGGGCCGAGGGCAGCTCTTGGCCACATTTGATTGTGCTTGAATTGTGACTCAAAACTGGCACAGTGATATCATTGGTTTTTAAAAAAAAGATTAAAATCCACAAATATAATAGAAACTCCTAACTTCCGAAAATATTTCTGAAAATAATATCCATTTTTCTCTCTCTCTCTATAAAACACTGCATTATTCAAAGCCGTTTCATAAGTTAGAGTCCTATTTCTGTGGAATGTTCCCAATTTGGCAAGTCAAATGCCCTAGAATTATTTTAACATTGCTGGAAAAGAGGCACCCCTTAGACTTCCCTTTTGAGGATGTAGCCTTTCTTTGTCAGGCTTCAGGACTCATGCTCCCTAGAGGCCATTAGGGAATGAAGAGAATAAATCCAAACCATATCTTTCTTCTTGTCTTTGTGGGGAGGCCTCCACTTTGATATACGTATGATAGTTATGATACTTGTGAGGAAGGCAATAGTCATCCTTTTAAAAGAAAAAGCTGGGAAAATAAGTGGTACAGAAGGCACAAAATGAAACATACAAGTCTGGTGTCTCCTCAGTGCTTCCTAGAGGTAATTGTAAATACCTTTTGTGTATCTTTCCAGATATTTCCCATGCAACATTTCTGAGCATAAATATCTGTATAGCTATACATATACATACATACATATACACGTATGTTGTACACACAGTGTGCATATCTCTTCTTTAGAAATACCAATGGGATTCTATTGGACATACCATTTTCTATCTTACTTTTTTCACTTAATGCTGTATCAGGGCATCTTGCCATGTTAGTACATGCAGATCTCATATTTTTAGTGGCTACGTACTATTCCGTTGTGTGGTTTGACCATAATTTAT